ATGCAGATTAAAACAGGCAGCAGGCAGGAGGATGCAGATTAAAACAGACAGCAGGTAGGAGGATGCAGACCTCTCAGGAAGCGCAGCCATTTGGGCAGGATATCGGTGGCTTTGGTCTGGATCAGGACCTTCCTGCTGTACAGAGCCACACTGGAGCCCATCTCCCTGCTCACGTCAAACATGCTCGGCTTCTGTTAACACAATTCACTCTTTAAATCGAAAGATAAACACCTTTTATGCTCATAAAATAAAATAAAAATACTCAACTTATTTATTGCATAATTCCTGAATCGAATATAAACTGGAACATCATCTTCATTAATTCTACGTTACAAAACTTTTAGGAGCTTTTTATTAAAAATATCATTGAAACATATATTCAAACACTCCTTACCGACTCAGGTACATAAAAGATACTTCGAATGTTGAGTGGGGCGTCGGCGCGGTAGTGCAGAGTGTAGCGGGGCTTGTCGTAGGCCTGAGCGACGTAACGATAGAACTCTTCGTGCTGCCAGTCACTGATCTCCTTCGGATCCATCATCCACAAGGCCTGAAAAAAAAAAAAAAAAAAACAGTTTCTCTCATTCAGCTCTCAAACTAGATGATCACAGCTTAAAATGTGTTAAAGTTCTTATTCACAATAATGAGAAATAGATTTGATTTAAATGTTTTCTACAGATCAACATTACCTGTCTGGGCTTGATGGGATATTTGTGTTAAACTCAAAAAACAAATAAATAAATCTGTATTTTGAAACAACTTCTACTTTTTTCTATTTATTCATTATTTCCATCAGGACAAGTGCAACAGATTTATAAATTTTGGACAATCTTTCACTATAGTGGCCACAGAAACATTGCTAAGAATAAAAAAAAATCTGTACTTATTGTAAAATGAAATGAGAATTTTTAAATTATCCCAAAGAGATGAACAGAACTGCAGCTCACCTGCAGCGTGTTGAGCCTCCGGCCGTTCAGGAAGATGGGGAAGCTGACAAAGTTGCTGTACTTTGTTACAACCTCTGAAACAGAATTACCGATTGTCATTCAGTGAACAGAGACTTTTTGTGGCACACAGGTGAGATTTGTTTAATAAAGCCACACTGGCTGTTTAACCTTTAACTCTGTCCTCAGAAGAAAACTCTTTGCAATCATCTTTGAGGTGAAGCACGATTTTAGTCCCCTGCTGAACGCCGCTGGCTTCAGCAACCTCAAAAACTCCTGAGCTGAGAACAACGAGAGAAATGTTTGAAGATTAAAACTGATTATTTTCCACTCACTTTACAGGAGATTTCTCTTAACCTCATCTTAACGAGAGAGCAAAAAAAAAAAAAGCATTTAAATTGCATTTACCCATCTGAAGACCACTTGTATCCAGGTGCATCAGGCTCTGCAGAGCGGGTGAAAACATCAACATGGTCAGCCACCATGAAGGCGGAGTAGAAGCCGACTCCAAACTGACCAATGATGGTGCTGCTAGCCTCCGCTTGGTTCTGCAGTGCATCCAAGAATGCCTGCGATGTGGAGGAAATAGAATCAAAGTAATTCTGCTTTGAACAAAAAAAAAAATTGAGCTCTTCATTTCTCAGTGCTTCAACTCAAATGTTAAGTTTTAACCAAGTAAACATAAAAAAACATCTCAATCAGTGTAAAAGCTGAAGTTTAATGCAGAACAGAAAGAAAAAGCACAAAGGTAGTTTATTTGTTGCACAAGAGGACTCACCTTGGAACCTGAGCGTGCGATGGTACCCAGGTTAGCCACCAACTCCTCACTGTTCATACCAACTCCAGTATCCTAGACGAGTAAAAACAGTCCAAGTCAAATTAAAATTACTGTAGCCTGCTCTACCACATTGATCCACCAGGTGGCAGTGGATAATAGGTCACGTTCAGTTTTTAAAACCAATGACTTTGATTCATCTTGTTACACTTGCTACTACAATTTGGCATTTAACAGTTTTTATCAGTCTAAGGATTTGCTTTTATCAAGTGTTGCAGAGCAAAATTATGGAAACTAAATAAGCATAAATTTAAAGTCCCGAAAAATGAACATGAAAACCTTCCAAACAAAACTGTTTCTTGATATTTTAACAGGCTAAAATTAAACTGTTAACATATCAAATAAAAGTGCTAAGGTTTTTTTTAAGAGTATTTTTAGGGTGCTGGTGGAGGCAAACATTGTGGAAACGTTTCTCCGTAAATATCAGCAAAAAAACAAAATGCAACAATTTCCCCTGTAATTTCAGACAATATTTTCACAATAAACAACCTGTTATTCAGATCTGATGATTGCTTTTGTCTTTATTTCAGCAATTTCCAAGTTTATTCTTTCTCATGTAGAAAATAAAAGCTTGAAGTTGTAGAGTGTGTGTGTACCTGGATGGTAAATGTTCCTTTTGAAGCATCAGTTTGCAGGTGGATCTCCAATGGAGCCGTTTCCCCACTGGATGTGATCATTTTGTGCCGCAGCTTTTCCAGAGCGTCGCTGCCATTAGAGATCAGCTCTCTGATGAACACCTGGTGGGAGGAGAAACAACCCGAATATCAGTCCTAAAAGAGCAGTTATTGTTAAAGGTGATCATCAGTGAGGAAAGGAAACATATTCCTCACCTTGCACAGAATCTTACCTCTTTTTCAGAGTACAAGGACCTGGCAACAATGTCCAGAAGTTTTTTAGTTTCAGCTTGAAATTCATGTTTAGAGAAACTGCCTGGGGGGGGGGGGGGGGTGTGTGTGACAGCATAAAACAAATTTAAAAAATATGAAATTTGTGTCTTAAAGTTAGAGAAAGATAAAAATCTATGTCAGCAGCTGTTCAAGCACCTTGCACAGACTCTGTATCGCTGATGATGGTGTGCAGAGGCTCCTCCTCCGGCTCTTTCTCCAATTCTTTCTCTGGTTCCTTCTCCACCTCCTGAGTGCTGTAGTAAGATTGCTGGCAGAAGCCCAGACAGGACGACTGCGGCCCCCACAACTGATGTGGACTGCTCCACCTCTGCAGCTGTCTAACCTGCAAGCCTGATGACAAGAGGGTATGATGGTGAGGTGGTTTCACAAGACAGAGGTACATTTTAATAAAGGACCTACAAATATCACATTTCTGATACTTAAATTTAGCTTGAACACCATTTGTTTTTCTTAACATCAATAACCTACAAGAACAGGCCTTGAGCACATTAAGCTACACAGGAGGAAATACAGGTGAAAGCAAAACAAAGTAAGGCGCTGATTAATATTTCTGAGATGAAATGATATTGCAGCTACCAAAATAGTTGCGTGGAATTATTTTAATCATAATGCTGAATTTGAAATATGTTTGCAAAGACCCACCTACATGAGTTGGGTTAGAAAGTTGTCATTTGATCAGTAAATGAAAATTATTAGCTCTAATACACAAGTCACTCAATTTAGTGCTACTTGGCTTGGGGCAAATGGTTTCAGACATCAACATTATTGAGGAGAAATCTCTAGTCATTCCTCATTTCATTGCACTTTGCTTCCAAGAAAACAAAATTATCCAAAAGTTGTTTTTTGTTCGTTTGTTTACATTGGTTGCTTTTTCACTCAATTTTCACCCAGTCACTTTCAGTCCAGAACCTGACTATTTGCAAAGTAATAATTTACTTTTTTTTTCTGACCAACAAATCATTCAGGGACAAAAAGGCTCAAACTCAATTAATAAACCAGTGAAGTAAATCAAAACAAACACCTTGGCACAAAAACAAACAAACATCTGAAATAGGATCTTTAAGCACTTTTTAGCAGTTTGATACAAGAATTTTTTTTAAATCTATTAAAATATATATTTAACAGACATTTAATATTTTAGCTTCAACAGGGTGGTTTTCAAAAGAGCTACTAGCTGAAAGCATGACAATCAGATGATTAACTGAAGGATGATGCATCAGGTTCTGTCAGGTCTTTGCTAGATTTGTTTTCTCACTTCCTACATTCATAATATTCAGACACGATCATTTTCAACCTCACACATTGTGGTGTACTACAAAGACTGAACTCAAAATAATTGAAAAGGCAGAAAATGTCCAAAAATGTATAGTTTGAAAAATCCTTAAGAAATTCTTCAAAGATTGCAAGATTGGCTTATTGGAATAGTGGTTTTGCATTGTGCCGGTCAAAACTACTCGCTCTTCAATGTATAATATGGTTATATTTTGGTTAAAAAATATAAACTTGACCAGGTTTTCTTGTTATACATGTAGGTGTAAGATCTTGAAACAAAAAGCTCGTTTTGATAATAGAAAATAAAAGTTTTGTAAGTGCTTGTCGATGTCGGTTACGCTAAGCTAACTATGCTAATTGACGAACCACCACTTACCTCCAGTCAAGGGGCGCGAGACACTTCGGTTGTTCAGGCCTCGTGCACATGACAATAACCGTAAATTTGTTTTCTGGAAAGAACCGAGCGCGAACCGAGCCAGAACGAGACAACGGGACATGACTGATATTCAGTTGGAGAGGGTAGACATGAACAGGTCGACCTAGGGACACACGCTTTGAAAGCAGGCAGGACCTGAGAGGGCGCTTGAAAATGACGTAGTAGGGCGTTCAGAAATCTGCCCGATGAGAAATGGAAATCTCCGGTTTCCGGTAACTTCACATTGGTGTGTTAAGTCATAGATATAAACACTAGATCCCTCATTGGCTGCTGCGGCGAAGGAGTTTCGGCCGCCATCTTGGAACGGTCGTCTTATTCAGTTAAATCAGAAGATGTCTCAGCACTTCGCAGCTTATTTCTGTTCTAATCGACGGACTGTTGACGTCCGGTCTCGGGGGATAACTTTTTACAAGTAAGATGAACATCTTATTGTTAGTATTTTGTGAATATAATATTACTGTACTGTATTTATGTCCACCAGCTGATGTTATGTTCAGTGTAACACGGTGTTCAGCTGCAATGAAGCTGACTGAGATCTGATGACAGGAATATTTTTCTAACAAACGTACTACTATTTCAGTAGTTTTGGTTCATTATCAACAGAAATGCATCAAAACTGGAGTTTTGTTTAAGTTGTTTTGGTATGTATGTTAGTTAAGTATGTTTTTGTGAAGACACAAATCTCCTGTTTTCATTTTGAAGGTTTCCCAAAGAAAAAGATGCGAGGAAGAAGAGGAAGTATCTTTGAGGAGGATTCATCTGAGCAGTGAGGATTTTAAACTGGAGGATTTTGGTAAAACTGATCAAACTGTCCGACTGAGAGATGGTGTGGTACCATCGGTTCTCCTTCAAAGAATAGGTGCATCATTATAAGTTCATTAGAGTTCATAAATGTGCATATTTTATTGTCAGTCACAAGGTGAGACACCTCCATGTGTTTATATGAACAGGTAACTATAGACTGTAAAGTTCATATTCATAATGTTTTTTCATTTCAGCTTGAAAACTGCAGGACTACAGGAACTCAACAAAAGCTGGAGCTGCTCTGTCTGTGGCCTCTCAGGAACGTGCATGTCACACGCACACTCTCAGGAACGTGCACGTCACACACATAGCCTTGGCCTCATGATGTGAGTATTTCTATTTTAAACTTTTATTTTTTCATTTAGCCTTTATTTATACAGGAAGTCTCATTGAGTCACGAGAACTCATTTTAAAGAGATCTGTTTAGGAGCAGATGGTGGGGGTTAAGGGCCTTGCTCAGGGGACCAGGGTGGGGCCAATGAGGGTGGAGGCAGTTGTGGGTGTTTCACCTTTTCCACCTCATTTTGATGTTGACGGTACCAGGAGTTGAACCTGCGACTTTCCGATCACAGGCCCATCTTCTAACCTCTGCGCCACCGCTCCCCCACATAACATCATATCATGATGGTCATGGTCGTATTAAAATCTCACTGGTTTCCTTCCAGATGTGTTAAACAGCTACTGGTCCCCCTGATGTTTCCAGGTGGCTGTGGTCAGTGGATGAAAAGCCTGGCATGAACAAGATGATGCTGGAGATCATCATTTGACGAGAGCGACCATCTTCTATCTGTGAAGAACAAGAGCAGCTCAGTGATTCCCTCAAGGCTCAGTGAAGGTGCTGAGAGCTGCAGAGAGGCTGATCCATGGAGCTTCAACACAGCAACCTCCAAACATGTCCACCCTCACACACATCGTCCGTGAAGACACTGGACCAGAGCACAAGATAATAAGACAGTGATAACAACAACAACAATACACATTCACAAATGATTCATACAATTTTAAGTTTTTTTAATTGTTTGTTTGTTTTACAATTGAAAAACAGTTTGTTATCCACTGTTGTCATCACTCTTTGTTAAAATCCAGGTCTCTCTTGTAAATGAGTCCTATTGGCTCAATGGAACTAACCTGTATCAATAAAGGTTGAATGAATATAAAGATATACATAATGATTTATTCAACCTTTTATTTATACAGGTTGGCTTCATTGAGAGAGAGAGAGCGAGAGAGATGGATAATGAAATTATGTGTGTGTATATATATATGGTGGCAATATGTGGTTATATATAAAATAGATATAATTGTTTGTAATTGTGTGTATGTATGTATATATATATATAATTATATATTATATAATATATATTATATAATTATATATATATGTTTCTGTGTGTATATATATATATATTATATATTAATTATATAATATTATATATATATAGATCTTAATAAAAATGTATCAGCGACTGTGAGTTTTGCAAACGTGTCATAAGAATATTTTATTAGTTAATGTTAACCCCGCCAAGAATATTTAAATACACTGAGCCATGTGTTCAGCTTTAATGGCTGTACTCCTGAGATTTACAGAGGAAAAAAATCGTGAGAATGAGTTTAGTATTTAGCTCTGACTGATTAAACGCGCAAATACTTCCATTGCTCCCGTCAAACAGGTTACACTGAGTGGAGCGGTCGACCGTTTCAAGATGGCGGCCCTACAGCTCGTCAGCGCCAATAGACGATAGCGGTCAATGCTGTATCTAGTCATTATATGATATCTATATGTGTTAAGTACTGCTGGTCATTTTGTATAGTATTTTTATTTAATCAATGTGTTATATTTTTAAACTAAATAATACACATATTTCAAGGTCAAACACAGTCATCTAATAATAATGTGAACATTTTATTTTCAAATGTCCACACAAGCAAAGCATGTTCCGAGAACCAGAAGAAACCATTGGATGCTTAAATTTCAGATGCCAAATCGTTTTAACAAAAATATGAAAATTACATTTTTGTTTTACAAGAGCCAATTTAGATTTTTTTGTTGTTGTGTCAAGATAGTGTACAGCCAATTATTCCTCAAAACTGTCACCACTGGAAGTACAAGGAAAAGCCCTAAGGGAGTCCAGCTAAACAATGTGAACAGGCTCTAGTAAAAAACTGTAGCTCATGATAGATCAACTTTAAAGCAGCACAGCAAATGTTTATTGACACCAGCTTCTTAAAAAATAGAGACAGTCTTCAGCACACAGGTTTATTTAACAATATGGTATATAAGTACGAAATGAGCCATTTGAACCAGTTTATACAATGAATTCATTCTTATTTTCTGCATATTTACAGTACTGTCTAGCTGCATGATTTACATTGGAGAATAGTTCCTCATCAATTCAAGTCTAATGCGAGAGAAAATGATGCACAAAACTCTCTGAACACAAATCAGCAGTCAAACAATTAAATTTCCCACCACAGGCAAAACAAGTTCAGTACTTAATGACAATTTCATTAGAATAAACATGAGACAAAGCAACTTTAGAAAATCTGCAAAACAAACGCAGAGACTAGGCCAGTAAAAAGAACATTCTGGCACCTGTAACCATTAATGTTTGTTTCAATGCAGGCTTTTCTTTTGCCAGCATGTTTGTGTGTGTGTGTGTGTGTTCGCAATAGGTATACTAGATCTATACAAATACATTAATCCTTTAGACTGCAAACAGGAAAGATTTTAAGGCTTTCCTAAAGGCAGTTCTTTTGAAAAATGGCATATTAGAATAAATTAGCCGGGAGTATGGAAACTCGGCAAGAAGTAAATCCTGGCAAAAAAAATTCACAGACAAATAATTTTACAGACTTCTCAACACAAATACAATATTGATTTGCAAAGGTAGAAAAAAAAAAGATTTTTTTTTTTTTTTACTTTGAGAAGTATTTTCTTAAAAAGTTAATAGTAGATCATAAATGAAAAACAAAATACAACGCAAAGACCAGGGTTTCTTGCAAGGCTGGTCTGAACCAAAAATATATTCTTTGTAGTTTTTTCCCCAACAGCAACTAATAAATCACTCTGTGTTGTAGGCAAAAGTAGTCCGTGTAAAGTTCACAGTTCACAGGCCTCGTAAGACTCATTTGTATTTTTTTAGATTTTCACATCGGTAAATATAAAAAAATGTCAACTGAAAACAACAAGGCCTTTCTTTTGTCTCTAAATGCTACAATCCTTCAACAAATTTCTCTAGCGTGTCTCCTGTTGCGTCACCCACCATACTCATGTCATTATTTAACCCTCCTCGGTTTGGTGTGTTAAGTTGTGGGAGCATGGCGCTCTGCTCTGGAGTTCCCATATGTCCTTGCTCCATTGAGCCTGACATCGGACCAAGGATGGGGTGAGGAGAGCTAGAGTGAAGAGCACTATGCTGAGGTGATGGCTGGGGTTGTATCCGTGGGGAGGAACTGGAATGAGGAGCCTGCTGTGAAGGTGGACGAGGCGACTGCACTGGGGCAGGGGAGCGCACCAGAGAATTTGCCATTGTCTGGCCTGGTAAGTGAGGTCCCCCCTGTCCTTGGCCTTGAAGCAAATGAGGTTGTGGACTCATCGAGTTAGCTTGCGCTGCAGAGCCCATTTGTTGCTTCATCATCTGCTGCTGTTGCTGAAGGATGCGCTGTTTGACATGGTTCTGGAGCTCCAAGCTCATGCCAGATTGGCTCATTTGGGATGTTGGGGGAAGCTGTCCCATGGGTCCCCCACCTCCTTGCATAGCCATTTGCGACTGTGCACGAAGTTGGGAGAAGTTAGGTGGTCCTGGCTGCTGTGGAGGAAACTGACCATGGCCCTGAGACAAGCCTCCCTGTTGCTGCATTTGTTGCATCTGCTGCATCCTAAGCAGCTGCTGCTGTCTGTGGTACTGCTGTGGACTGCCATTTTGAGCAGGGTTCATCATCTGGCCCTGAGGACCCATGGGCGTCATACCCTGAGGCCCCACTGGCTGTGGAGGCTGCTGTTGAGGAGCCATCACTGGCCTCTGCACTTGGTTTGCCATGACTGACATGGCCTGCATTCCAGGCTGAGAGCCCATCATGGCTTGTGGGTTCTGCTGCTGTGCCTGCTGCTGTTGTTGTGGTACATGGCTGGTCTGGTATTTGGCTGTCCTCTGTTTAATAAAAGCAGCCATGAGGTGGGGGTTAGACTTGAGGATGGTAAGGACCTGATGCTGTTGCTGTGGGGAGCTTGGAGATTTGAGGGTGCGCAATAATTCCTGCAGGGCACTTGGAGTAATGTTACCAGACATTCTCTGAGGCATGTTTTGTTGTTGTGGAGTCATGCTCTGTTGCGAGGGGCCCTGGGGAGGCATGACACCAGACATTTGCAGGCCATGCTGCTGGGGCATCATAGGCCTCTGCATAAGTTGGCCCTGCTGAGACATTGGGGTAACCTGAGCCTGCTGAGAAACCATGGGGCCTTGCTGAAGAGGGACCTGTGGCTGATGGCCTTGGGGATTCTGCATGCCTGCGCCCCACTGGTTTTGCTGCACAGCCTGCATCACTTGGGGGCCCCGTGGTCCCTGCACCATCTGCATTTGGTTTTGCATGGGGCCCATCATGCGCACTGGGTTCATGGGCATCCCATTATTGACATAATTCGGTTGCTGCTGTTTTGCCTTGGCAGCCCTCTCAATCTGTTGTGCCACCTGCAGTGCTGCCAACAGCTGCTGCTGCTGCTGCTGCTGCTGCTGTTGTTGTGGCTGCTGCTGAGGAGGCTGAGGCTGCTGTTGGTGTGGCATGTTAGGCATAGGTGACAGCTGCTGATGAAGAGGGGATGACTGAGGCCCCGGCTTGCCTTGTGGCACTGGTGTTGTGGGCTGACTGCTACGGCCGTTGCTCGGGAATCCTTGAGCAATAGTAGGAGGGTTTGGTGGCTGCTGTTGTTGGGGCTGGTTGGGCATCGGCTGTGGTGTTTGTGGTGTATTAGGCTGCTGTACAGAATTTGGAGTATCAGGGGCAGATGAGGTAGGCGGAGAAGGCATTGGCATACCTCTTCCAGCCATGGTAGCCATTCTGCGGCGCATCATCTGAGCCTGCTGCAGCCTGTGTTGCAACTGCTGCTGACGAAGTTTGTGCTTGATGTTGAGACAGAAGGGAACAGGACACTTGTTTTCCTGACAATGCTTGGCATGATAGCAACATAAAGCAATGAGCTGCTTGCACACAGGACAGCCACCATTGGTCTTGCGCTTACAGCCTTTGGTGTGCTGAACCACCCTCTTCATCTTCTGGCATGAAGGAAGTGCACAGTTGGCATTGCGACATTGGCAGGCATGGACAAGGGACTGAATGCAGCGCTGGATGCTAAGACGTCGACTCTCCTGAGGGCTCTTGGAGGCCTCGCCACCTTGACCGTGGCTGTCATCGTCTATACCCAGGCCCCACTTCACCATCTGGTGCTCATGGCCCTTAGTGTTGTAGCAGTTAATGCACAGATCGTAGTCCTGATGACAGATAGGGAGATCACATAAAAGCTGTGTCAATATTTGAATTTAATTTCAAATTAATATTGATAAATATTTCAGAATAAATCCATTACTGAAAGATTTTACCTCGCAAACAGTGCAGTGCCAGCGAGTCTCCACATGATGTTTGCATTCGTTGCAAGTATACACAAAACGGTCCTGGCCCTGATTGTGCAGCTCCACCAACATGCACATCGTGCTCCACTTGCATCTTCTAATTGAACTGAACTCCCAGTGCTTGTCCCTGGCCAAAGTCAAAAAGGCATCACGTCCATCCATGAGGTCACATGTTAGCAGAGGGTCAGGGTCCATGATAGGTGGTAAGGTGTTAATGACAGGCCCAGCATGGAGGTGGATAACAAAAAAAACCTGGTGGAACAAAGGAGGGGAAACATGTATATTAGTCATAAATACAACGTATGTAGAGCATTTGCTGATGGCATTTTAGTCATGAAGAAATTATGCACAAAAATGCTGTTAAGGTTTCCCACCTCCTTATGTTTCTCCATCGTGGCGTAGAGTTTCTGTGACAGATCATTGGCGACATTTGGCATTCCAGGCTTTTTCTTATTTGCTCGGCTGACACTGCTCTTGTTTTTGTTGGTTTTCTTATTATTCTTCTTTTTTGCATTCTTGCTGTCAGCCTGGGCTCCCTTGTAGTAGAGAACAACATTTTAAAACACTGCACAAGAGGCAAGCTTAAATTGTGCAATTAAACTGAGTGACTGTACAATGCCACAGTGGTTGCTAAAGGTTTAATATGATTATCACTTGAAGATGATATAATCTTGGTTGAGAGAAGCTTTAACAAAGAAGTCCTAATATTATAGCTTTCCTTTACTGTAATAAAAAGAAAAGCCAATACGACAAGCCCATGTACCTCTGTTGTTTCAGAAGAAGCAGTGTTCTCTTCCTTCTTCCTTTCCTCCTCCTCCTGCTCAAGCTCTTTGATGCTCTCCTCAAGTACATTAGGCCAAAAGTCCCCCTCGAAGTACGGCAGCTCATTGGCACTGGTCACCCTGTCCTCTGTTGCCTGCTTGAAAATGTCCTGAATAGACAAACAATGTCCCATCAGCACAGGTAATAGAATAACAAATTGTTTAACAAGAAGAAAGAAGCTGACTTTGAACAAATATCAACTTTTAACTGATATGACAAACTTTTTGATGAGGTTTTTTTTTTGTTGCTAATAAATCCCATATAAAGCAAATAAAAAATAAGTATCTCACCCAATGAAGGATTGTATTTTATTTAAAAATTTTAAACCTACTTATCAACACACATTACATCAGGTTCTCAAGCATTTAGAAATCTTTGATAAAAAGTTAATGCAAAATCAATAAAACTAAATCTAATAAATAGGACTGTATTACAGACTTATTTTATTTGAAGACTAATTCTGAAGCAATTTAAGCCATATCCTTAAAGAGATAGTCCAGTCAAATTTGTAGCAATGGTCAGTTAAATAGTTATCGTTAATACTTTACACATTGCAACATCAGTTAATATGCAGTGAGCATGAACAATGAGGCAAAAAAGTTTAGCTAACCAATAGCAAAATGAAGTTTATATTTTTTTTATTTTCAGACTTATAAAAACTTTTTATAAAACCACATACCAGTGTGAAAGAATGTTGCATTAGCTAATATAACACATCAACGCTTTTGTACGGCACTGTTTTGTTTAGTTTGTCACTGTTTTAGTCAACTAATAACATCCACGTTGCTATGTGAATGTATGTGTGCCGAGCATAGCCTGCGTTTAGGCCACTGGTTGCTGTCCACTGAAAGTTTAGTAAACTTTTGATGGACTAGATGTGCTGAACAAGAACAAAGTGTTTTTACAAACTGTAGCGTTTTCATATCTAACATTTTTGTAAAATTACATCGCATTGTTTAATTTACAAAATTAGTTCAGTAGCGAGACAAAACATTGAGGCTTAAGATTTTAAACAAAAACTTGAGAATGTCTTGAGGAAACACAGGCGCCGGTGTTTTCTGACCTTGTAATCATGTAAGATCCTCTCAGCAAAAGCCTTGTCCAGCATTTTTCTGTACCATTCTACAAGCCTCTTGGGTTTGGGGATCTTTTGATCAGGAGGGTGGCAGTGGAAAATATAGTCATCACCTTCACTAGGCGGGCATGCCCAGATTTGACCCATCACATACCTGGTCAAAAAAATAATTAAATAAATAAATATGAACTTCTTTGCAACTGCAATACCTAATCTAGAGATAGCTGAAAAAAAAATCAAGCACTACTTGCTGGGAAGACTCACCCAAGCTTTTTCACATACTCCAAGTAGCCTATCAAAATCTCATGGTACACTGCAGTTCTTAGGATACGTGGCTTGAAGAAGTGAATACTGTCAAGGTATGATATGTAAACCCGTCTGAAAGGAAAACATGAAAATTGAATGGTGAGCTTAAGCTCAAAACAATTGTACACTTTAAATTATACATATAAGCATTTACTGTAGTATTACCTGGTGTTTGGAAAGGGACACTCTGAGCCATACTCTTGTACGTGCATTCCAAAGAAACAAACATCCACCCCGTCAATTTCCTCAAATGCAAAAAGTGCTTTGGTTCTGTAAGGGAAGCTCTCTACCATCTCGCCTGTATCTACAAACCTAGGGATGAAAACAATAGCACAAGCAACATTTTTAACCTCTGGAGTGGTATGCAATATGAGGAAGCAGCCAAACTGTCAATTTAATTAATTTTATTTTATTTTTTACAAAAAACACAGAGAACAAATGAAAGTCCTACCTAGACTTCATGCCAGGCTTCACATCCACAGTTTTGTCAGAGCTAGCAACCACTCGCACAAATACTTCACCAGCTTCTGGGTGGTTCTGCCTTTTCAAGTACTTGTTTACTCTGTCCTCAATGTACATCCCCAACCTTGTAGACTGCAATCCTTTAGAAACAATGGACATTTAGAATCAATTCTAGTTCTCAAAATAGATAAATTTGTCAGATTTATAAAAATACAAAGTTTTTGTTTTAATTTTACATGCAACTTACTTCTAGCTGAGAACTTGTTTTCTTTTCTTGATTTACCTGACTTTTTTAGACAGTTGTCACAGATAAAGCTAAAAAAAAAAAACAGAAAGAAAGACAAACTACTTAATATAAAATTGCAGTAACTTTGGTAAACATAAATTCTCATTAGAAAGAATAACATTTGCACAGGTATAAGTTTAAATGGCAAGATACATGTAGCAGTCTGAGAGCTATGCGAAACTCACCCTGATGGCCAAATGACATCATAGTGCAGCACACAAATTTGATGCATTTTTCGTCCACAATCTTTACATTCAATAAACCTACAAAGGCAGAAATATTCCCGTTAATTTGCAAAAAGCTATAAAGAAGTATTACTGCCATCACACAGATTTACATCAGGCTGCAGCTACTGTCCAGACAGTACTCACGGTTCAGAGTCCAGCATGTCATTTTTCTTCTTTTCAAACTGATCTTTTGAGATCAAGCTACATGATGAAGAAACAAAGTTCATATTTGTTCACAAGATTTTATTAAAAAGAATGACATTCAGATAAAACAATGCCCAAAAATCTGAAAGAGGGTCACCAGTTAATATTCACACTCGCAGGTTTGGTAACTTACGTTGACGATTGTGACGGGTCATCCCCCAGGGACACGCTGTTTCCCTGGATCTCGTTGAAGCACTTCTCACAGTAGTGATACCTGTCAGCAATAAGGCCATATTTGGGTGAACTGCAGCCAGCACATACAGTAGCAACACAGGCAAACCGGCGTACAGGTGGTAGAATGCAGAGTGAACGAAGCACACAGAAACAACCAAGGACCGAGCATGGGCAGATAGACGGATGGACACACACAGGCAGAGGTACAGGTTAGTCACAACTGAAAATGGTCATGATGCAGCCACCCATTCAAACTGAAACAACAATGAGGAAAACATGCTAAAATGTTGTTAATAAGGAAATTGATCAGTAACATGAAATATTTTAACACCTTTTAAAGGCATGCTAGAAAATGAAAACAGTAAAACCCTTTTACTACAAGCACTTTCAACAGGCTTGCAAGCGGGTGAATGAATATGATGAAAAGTGATAATGCAAAAACAAATATGCAAGTCTGTAAGAGAAAACTGCAACATACATTTTTTCAGACTAATTTAGAATATAACAGCTATAAATGCAACCTAAATTATATTTTACACTTTGTGTCTATTTTCTGTATTTACAATGGTTGCATATTTGGGTCGGGGACCGTGAAAAACCACAGGTGACCCACATCTTCCTGCATCTACCTGAATGCAACTTGTGTAGAAACAGATGGAGGACTGGACCTGCTGCTCACACAACAGCTTTTATGTGAAGACAGCTGTAAACATTTTAAAATGTAGATAAATAAGAAAATTTGTTTTGAAGTTATGGGATACACAAGAAGTCCTCTAAACTATGAGCACAGACTTTTTGTTCAGTTGAGAAACCTCACAGTTTTTGGTACTGACTTTGTGCAAAAACTAAGCTGTGTTGCAATGGATGTATCTTGAGGTGCAGGAGTACGTTCACAACAGAAGGGGGTGCTTAGGTGCCAGATTTCGGTATAAAAAATAAAATAAAAGAAAAACCTAAATCCAAGATAACCCAGGGAATGATCAAGGTGTTACTCTAGTAAAGAAAGACTCTAGTAAAGTCTATATTTAAACTTGTTAGAACTTTGTAGAGTTGTGTGTGGCATCTTAAGCCAAGTTTCTTAAGGATGATTACTTGATTTAGCCTCTCCTCCATTTCAGTATAGTCAGCATGCACGTTTACCTGTTCTGGTAGCTGTAGTAGGTGCTGTCTCTGGAGATCGTGCACAACTGTTTGCCATAGCAGCACAACGTTTGAGGCGAGAACTCGTACTACAGGAAAAAAACAATCAAATATTAACGTTCATAGTCAATGTGTCTGTACAAGGTAATTGCGAACTGATGCAACTAATGAGATATGACAAACTTTAAGCTACAGATCTCGCACGTTGCTGTTTAGTGTGCCATCACCTCCCTTTCTATAGTCTCACCTTCCTACCGCAGCAGTAGCCAAGACTTTGCATGACAGGATCGATTTCTGCTTCAAACACCTCAGCCAACTTTGTGCAGTACTTGTAGACGCGGGATGTTTTGCGGTTATACAGCCAGGCATTGTTGAACATGAGCCACACATCATCTACATACTGCCATGGCTCCTGGTACTGTCCCGTATCCAGCTTGCGCTTGATGGTGGATAAGTCGATGGGGTTTTTCACTATGTCAAAGTAATCCTGCAGAAAAGAGGCCGTCAAAAACCATAATTTAGGATTTCTGCAAGTTTTAATATATTAGAATAACTTTGTGAGTGAAAACTCACAGGGATCCCGAGCAGCATGGGGTCTACAGGTTGTCTGAAGGGCAGGGACTCTGGGTCTTGTCTGTAAAGGGCCTCGAGTGTTGGCATTAAGGCTTGTCTCAGCTCCTCTGGCTTAAAAACTGGATGAAAAACATTAAGAAACTAAGCATAAACAGTATCTCCAGATCTGAAAATACAACCATTTCTCTAAAAACCAACAACAAAACTGGTACAAATTACATTAAAAAATCAAAATGAGAAGGTCTGTTTTAAGACAAGTACAAAATGAAACAGTTGCTCAAAAAAAGAATGCAATACCAGTGTAAATAAATTTATATGTATTGCATACACAGCTGTAAACTTTTTTTTAATGAAAATTGTTGACTTTTAAATAAATCTGACAATGTAAGACTTCTGATCATGTGTAAAACCCTTTGTTAAACGCAGACAAATGAACAAGTACAACAGCATATACACTGCAATGACATATCCTTTGTCATTTTCTGTCTGATGTTTTCCCTTAATGTTTACGTGAAAAAGCTTTTTAGGGATTTAATACTTTTTTATTTAAGGATTTTCAAGTTTGATTTAGTATTTCAAAATAGTGAAATGTCAATAATTTTCTCTGTCTTTTTGTCGCATGACCATAGATAAATGTATAAATATGATATCAATGGTAATACTTTTTCTCCGGTTTTGAGCTGTGGAAGTAGCTGATGCGCCGTTAGCCCCGCTATCGTCCTCCTCTTTTGGTTCTGCCTTTGCCTCTGGCTTTTTCTCCTCAGTTTCCATTTGTTCCTGCTTTGGTTCTGTTGCATCTGGTTCCTCCTTTTTTACCAGTGGAGGCTTAGCTTCATCGTCCTGCTGTAAGAAAACAAACACTGTTAAACAAGCAATAAAAAGCCACAGTTTACTTTTTGTGAAATGTGATCAGAACTGACTGATTGTGCCTGACTACGTTTTGCAGAGGTTCAAACAGCAAATGATTTATCATCTAATCTACTAAACACAAAGTGCATTAAATAACTTGCATACCTCCATTTTTATATCATTTTGCTTCTTTCCAGAGTTGCTATCATCATCATCTTCATGTTTTACTTCAGATTTAACTTCAGTGCCACTCATGTCAGGTAAGGCCTGCTGGGAGCTTAGCTCAGCCACAGATCCTGGTGTAGGTACTCTGTTATCTATACCTGCTGCTGCCTGTGACAACTAGAGTCAAAAAAGGTACATTGATCAAAATCCTGATCATCTTAATAAACAACATTAAACTTGTTGCCCAAAAAACAAACAACAACAACAAAAAAAAAACCTGCTGAAAAACCAGTCTAGTGCTTTATTGTAAGAGGACAGAAGGATAAGCCAGTTTTTAGGATTCAGAATGGACTAGTGTCTCACCGGTGTGGCAGGATGCTGTGCCTGCACTGAGGTGGGCTGCTGCATCTGGCTGGAGGGTTCAGACTGGGGCTGCAGGGGGGTCATAGGCTGGGAGGGGTCAGGCGGGGTGCTCATAGCTGCAGGGGGACGAGGGATACCACTAGGAATGTGAGTTGGTGTGGAGGAGGGTCCGACTGTGGAGCTGGGAGTAGAGGGTTGAGGTGGCACTTGGGCCTGCGTGTGAACATGCTGCTGCTGGCTAACATTAGGTGAGGGAGTTCTGCCCAGTGAGGGTGGGGCTGGAGGACCAGAGGGCAGCTGGGAGCCCAGTGCATTCAGAGGGAGGTTAGAGTTTTGCGTTTGCTGGAACAAAGTGGGGCATACTATTAGCATACTGACATTTTACAAAGCAGATTACGCACTCACACAAAGGGCCACATTTAGACTCAAAATAGTGAGTTGAATCACACACACAACTTCTCACAACAGTACACATTCTCACCTGTGCAACAGCAGCCTGTGACATATTGTGTCCCAAGCCCATATTCACATTCATTGTTCCACCTGCAGCACCAGGAAACTGGCCTTGTGGCAGAAATTGGCCTTGGTTGGCTGGTTGAGACACCATATTATTAGCATGAGTACCCATCATTCCTTGAGTTTGAGACATCCTTGATGGAGACATGCCCATCTGGAAAGTGGCAAAGACAAACAAATCAGTACAACAAAAAGGAACCTAGTTCTAAACATCTGTCCTGATATTAAATGCAGATCACATATGGGTTAGCAATACTGTAGACTTTTAAACAATCAGTGGGGTAACGTATTAACATAAATGCAAAACAAAATATTAAAACCATGGTGACAATATACAGTCTTGGAAAGCATCACACAACTTAAGAAGCAGTCCTAAATGTCTAAATTTAAAAACAAAATAAATGTATGAACGCACCAGTTGTGAAATTCTGTAAATGCAAAAACCAATTAAAAACCTAGCATTCCTTGAAGAAATACATATCACACTTCACCTTTCACATCAGAATTTTAGACTAAGACTTGTTGAGTAGGAGAGAAAGAAAATGGACAAAAAAAGAGCAATTTGAACCTCTGGTGATGAAACAAATCACATGCACAAAATAAATAAAGTATAGTTAAAACTGAGAAGAGTATTTTCTTGAAACCAGGCAAAAGGCAATTTTTTTTTTATAAAACTCTTGGCTGATAAAGTGATTTTAATGCTGATTAACTTTTTCCCTCATCACTAGCCTTGAACTTGACAAAGTTGTTCAAATCTTGATTTTCACTATAAGCAGTCTCTGAAATCAAGAGAAAAAAAAAAACTGAGATGGAGGTAAGAAAGAAATCTCACCGATGGAACAGAGTTCATGCTCATCTGCTGTGGATGGTTCATCGGGGAAGGAGCCCTCGCTCCCATGGGTGCCTGAGGCATCTGCGCATTCTGCATTGCTACTGGGTTAAACTGGTTGATTCCTGTAGGAATAAATTCACAAACAATTACATAAATGTTCAAGGGAATAAATGTACTGAGTAATTTAATTTTTAATGTTCTAGTGAGCTGGTGGATGCACTAAACCAGTTGATTTAAACAAAATATCTCAGAGTAGTTTAACAATCCAATATACACAATAGATCTGCTTAATGTAAATACTTCCAGGTTTTGGTTTCTTATTTGACAGTAAAATCATCAGCTAATTTATTCCTAACATAAGATGGAAAATGTGTTGCTTTTTTTTGGAAGACTCTTGAAAAACAAACAAATAACCAACACATACCTTGGTCCACCTGCATACGGTTCATTATCTGATTTGGTATGTTGGGCATTGATGCAGGTCCATCTTCAAAAAGACAAGAAAGTGCCATGTTATTTGTAAAAGTAGACTTTTTGAGGGGGGATTTTAATTGTTTAAAAAGGGGGTTTGTATTAACCCTAATTTAAGGAACTTAGTTACTAACTTTGAGGTCTAACAGCTTGTCCTGGACCCATGATGTTTGGCTGAGTCATTACAGGCTGCTGAGGTCCACCTGGGCCCACTATGCCAGGCTGTTTCTCCTGCCGAGAGCGCCTCTTCTCCTCTAGCTCTTTCTGGATCTTGTAAATCTTTTCTGCCAGGAAATGGTAGTACTCATCCTATTGAGAAAATTAAAAACAAAAAAAATGTAGACCGAAGACATAAAAAGACTGTGTTAAGAATAATATAATTTAGGCACTAAATCATGGCGTGGTGGTCAATTCTCTCGTCTATATGAGAGAGCCTTAATTAGCAAAAAAAAAAGAAGTCCTAATTGGAAAGTTTTGATGATTAAAACCTGGAATGAGCTTAACTTTTATTACCCTGCTGTTTGCTGACTCGTACATGTCACCCTCAACTTTGCGTGCGTATGCCACCAGGTTCTCCATTCGCCTGTCCTTCAGTGCTGCGGGGTCTGGGGTGGGGAATATGGCTTGTACTCTAGAAGGGGAAAAATCTTGAATGACCTGCAGTACCTTAACATAACTTGGCATCTGCAGATACAGTAACCTAACTGAACTTACAGTTTATGCACCAAGTGAGTGCGTAGGTCTTGAGTGACATGTTCATGCCACGCCTTCCTTACACCAGAAGCAGAAAGAGGAGTAGCAGTGGGCAGGTTTCCAATTCCTCCTACTACTGACCCATCTGGCATTAGCTGACTGCAGGACAAAGAAAATTTGATAAGAATTTGTTATTTGCATCACAAGAAAATATACAATTTTCATAAAAACCTGACAGAAAGCTTCTACTCTGAAATAACAGGGATGCTGAAAAAGCTTACTTGTTAAGCGTGGAGGGCAGAGAAGAGTCAGAGTGACACCCAGTCTGGTCTGAAGAAGGGGTACCCATTCCTCCTCTCATCTGGTTCATCTGATTAGTGCCTGTAAAATACACAATATTTACAAGTGATACACACAAGATAGTGAGATTTTACCGTGCAAAAAAACTACAAAAATAGTGTCCTGATGCATGCTCAATAATCCAGGTAGAAAAATCTAAAAGAGTTAAGTCTGGTCCTCTGGACATTCAAAAAAGAAAAGAAAAAAAAGTAGAAACGTTTCGTCTTTCATCCGAAAGACTTCAATGAAAGACGAAACGTTTCTACTTTTTTTTTGTTTGTTTAGTCTTTTGAATGTCCAGAGGACTTTTTTAGATACAAAAAATAGTGATAAAATCCTTTTTATTCCATACCTAGTGGATTCATGTTTCGCAGCTGTTGGTGCCCCTGGGGAGTTTGCTGAGCCGGACCCTGACCCTGGACCTGAACAGGGGACTGATTCCCATATGGGAGGCCCAAGGCTGCATAGGCCCTCTGCATGGAGCTGGGGTCAATGTGTGTGGTAGCACTGTTGATGGTTGTGGCACTTTGCTGGCCAGGTCCAACTGAATTGATGACGTTCTGCAGGCCGGCACCAGGTGAACTCAACATAGCTGAAAAGGACAAGTAAAAAAGGTTGCCATTTGTGCTTCTATTTGCAACCTGTCTTAATATCAACACATTTATCACTGTAAATTATTCTAATTTGTACATTTGTGTAAAAAAAAAAAAAACCAACAACAACAAAAAAAAATACAAAACGGTCTTCTTTGGCCTCTGTCTGCAAACACTATGCTGCTCCCTGCTGCTGTGTTGACTGCAGACTGAGAGCACGCTGCCTCTTGTGGGTGATTTAAATCTGTCATAGTACTTTTTAACCAATTAGAGAGCCTGCTGTCCCAAGACCCTGCCCCCACTAATAACAGAGACACAGAGCCCCTCCCCTGGGTGTCACATTACAGGCCCAACCCTTCTAAAGGAATCCTTTCAATGTCTGCGAGCCAGCACAGAGACGCAGCAAGAAAACACAACCTGCAGGTGGCACCACTTCACACTACACACACATTTCCTTAAGACTTGCCATTTGCTTTTTGTATAACAACTGTCTTGTTGGACAGTTTACAAGGTTTCAACAAGCTGAGCAGATATTAAACATTCATAAAAAAATTATCTAACAAGTTAAACCTAATATTTTTTTGCAAGTATCAATAAATAAAATGAGAAGGGCTGCAAGAGTTACTCACGTTGCTGATTTCTCTTGTCGCTCGCATTCTTCAGCGGCAAGCAAACAGGACAGTCGTGTCGCGTGCAGTTCTTCCAGTGGGAGATGATCTGTCTGGATGATGCACAGTGAGCCACTGGGAAAAAAGTAAAGGCAATCAAAAACACAAAGTGAAGTTTGTTATTTAGAAATCCAGTTGTAACTAATATTTCACAAGACAAATATGGGATTAATCAAAATATAAACTCAAAAATGACCATGTCAACAAGTAAAAGGGGTAGCAACTATCAATTAAAATGTGGTTTATAAAACACATTCTTCTTTCAACTTTTCCCTCTTTAGGGGTCACCACAGCGAGTCATCCTCCTCCATCTGCATAGATGAACTCGCATACTAGTTTTGGCAAAAGCGTTTTACGTCAATTGCCCTTCCTGACACAACCCTTGCCATTAACCAGGGCTTGGGACTGGCAAAAGAGATAACACTGGCTTGTGCTCCCTATTGGCTGGTTTGGTTTGTAAAACACACACACATACACACACACATACATGCATATATACACATATATATATATATATATGCATATATACATATATACACATATATATATATATATATATATATATATATATATATGCATATATACGCATATATATATATATGCGTGTATATATACGTATATATATATATATACCATACCCATACCATACCAATTTATTTATATAGCACTTAAAACAGCAACAAGGCCAACCAAAGTGCTATACAAAAGAACCAAACATGCACAGCAGACAGGAAAACATAAAATAGAAATACAGATACAAATAGCAGCAGAAGCTAACTAAAATGGCCAACAGAGTAGAGAACAGACCGGACCAAAACAAATCACACCGTGTTAAAGGCAAGCGAATAGAAGTGGGTCTTCAAGCGAGACTTAAAGACTGAGAGTGTGGGAGCCTGCCGGACACTCAGTGGCAACTCATTCCACAGTCGTGGACCTGCAACAGAGAAAGCCCTGTCACCTCTGAGCTTACGACGGGTTTCTGGGACTGAGAGAAGCATCTGGTCTGCTGACCTCAGAGAGCGCGGTGGGACATATGGCTGCAGAAGATCAGTGAGATAGGATGGGGCGGAACTGTTCAGTGATTTAAAAACATACATGAGAATTTTGAAATGGATCCGAAGGTGAATGGGTAGCCAGTGCAGGGAGGCCAAAACTGGCGTGATGTGCTCTCTATAGCCTGTACCAGTTAAAAATCGGGCTGCAGCATTTTGGACCAGTTGTAGATGAGCAATGGAGGACTGACTGATTCCAAACAGAAGTGAATTGCAGTAATCAAGCCTAGATGTTATGAAGGCGTGGATCACTGTCTCGAGGTTCTTTTTGGAGAGTATAGGCTTCAGCTTAGACAGACGTCTCAGCTGAAAAAAACAGGATTTGAAAATCATGTTTACGTGACTGTTGAGTTTTAAGGACGGGTCCATTATCACCCCCAGATTAGTCACCTTTTGTTTCTCTAGCGGGGCTAGAGAGAAAAGGTCAAGGTCATGGTTCATGAGTGAGCCACTGGGATGGAACAGCATGACTTCAGACTTCTTCTCATTGAAGCTTAAGAAGTTTAAAGCCATCCAGTCCCGGATGTCAGCCAGGCAGTCAAGAAGAGGCTGAATAGAGCGTGTGCCTCTGTGCCTCAGGGGGAAGTAAATTTGGCAATCATCGGCATAGAAATGAAAGGGTATGTCGTGTTTGCGGAAGATAGCACCTAGTGGCAGCAGGTATAAAGAAAAGAGAAGGGGACCGAGGATGGACCCCTGCGGTACCCCCCACTGGAGTGCGGTCGATGCCGAACTAAAATCTTTGATATTGACACAGAAGGTTCTGTCAGAGAGGTAGGACCCAAACCATTTAAGGGCTGACCCTGTGATGCCCACCCACTGCTCCAGTCTAGAATATATATACACATGTATATATATATATATATATATATATATATATATATACACACACATATAT